TCAATACAAAACACTATGGTGCCGCCTCACATGCTGCGGCTGAATTTAAGCTTCTGCTGTATTTCATTTTCTGCTCTTACTCAACGTGTGTTTATAGTCACCTGGGGAGTATTTTTACTGAAATAAGTAATTATTATATTCAAAAATTAGCATATGAAAAACAATAATTAAACTGGAAGAACTACAGAAAGCAATACCACTTTTGAGTAACTATAATTAACCAAGACTTCATTCATAATGAACACATTGTTTATTCATAGTTTAACAAATTAATGGAGGAGTTAGTTATGAGTTAGGATTAGGGTAATAACTAAGTAGTTACTAAACCCAAATCATTCCTAGTACTATTCAGAATTAATCAGGTTTGTTATGTTATTCATAATAAGACATTTGTTCATTATAATTTAGTCTTTGTTAGCGCTTTATTAAGGCTAACTCGATGTATTTATAATTGTTGTTACATATATTATGCAGTAGCCATAGCATACATATTGTCCCAAGATCTAGTCAAATATTGTAGTTCAAGGGTAAATGCTTATCAGAGCGCTATATACTATGCCTAGTGAAGGGTCCACATTCTTGTTGCTTTGCCTGGAATGTTCCACAGTATGGTATTAAACTTATGAGACAAGTAGTTGATGCCACCAGACCAAGTTACTGTGGAGAGGTGACCCTGTTCACAGTAAGAATGAATGCTTTTCAAGGCATTTCTGAGCAGTAAAAAGACAGCAGGCTTATTGTCCAATTGCAACATAGATAAGTTTAATGCCACATTGATATTCCAGGAAAAGCTGTAACATAACATAATAAAAACAGGTGCAGGATAATGTTAATGGAAATGTAAATCTTGTGTAACATCCTTTATTTACCAAATGATAAATACATCTTTTTCATGCACATTTGGACATAGATTCAGTTTCCATCCGAGCTGCAAAAATGAGACAATTACACCACAATAGCGCAAATATCTGTGCAGTGAGGTGTGTCTGAGTCTAGGAGCGACTAATGCATTGGCCTAGATCCGGCGGTAGACATCGATCAGATTGACAATTGAGAGGCCCATGTCGTGTCTGATAAGGCCTTTTTCTACAGCGCGGCACAAGCCCATCTATCTCCCATGAAAGGAAAAACACGTGAAAGCATGTCGGGGCAGTACAACAAACCTGTGAGTGGCTACTATAAGGAGAGCCGGACAGAAGGAGGGGCGGTCTGAGAACACGCACAGAACACAGAGGTCACCAACAAACGATTCTTTTCACCTTGGTGGCCATTGCTCCTGAAGCACAAAGAGAGTAGTGATACATTACAGTACAGTACAGTAGCCCTGATTATTGGACCTTATAAATGAACTGTACCTGCAGCCATTTAATCAGACCGCAAAGAAATCAGCAGAACACAAATGCAAAAATCATGTTATTTTTAGTTTGTGCGTTATTCAGATGTATTTTTGCATTATTGTAGGATACTGTCAGGATGGTTTTGCCTCATGGTTGCTTTATCGCTTGTGTTGTGTCGCCATCTATTGGACGGTAAAGGAAACAGCATGAGGATAGAGACTGGGCTAAGTTCAATTCTACCCCCTTTGTCTTTAATGCTTTGTCTCGTCTGCTGTTGTTTATAATGAATTACAAAAGTGAGACGAAATCTAAGGCAGCCAAAATGTTTGTGTTGTAGTGATGGGATTTTCGACTCTTTTATGGGATTTAAATCTTTTGGATCCATTCATTTCAAAGAGCTGTTCAAAAGACCATTTATTTCTAAGACTATGACAGAAGCCAAAGTGAGAACTAATATTAACAACAAACTAATCACAAAGGGACTTGACCAAGGCTAAGAAATTGTTCAAAGTTACCTACTAAAATTATGCAGCATCTTGCACCACAATATTAATAATTTAAAAACTGATTCTTGTCTTGGTTCAGAGTTAATCTGAATATAAAAATGGAGACCGTTTGGAAAGAAAAAGATTTGTTCTTAAAAAAATGTGATCTAATTCCTACAGTTCATGTTAAGGAACCATTCAAAACAGCTGACTTGTTCACAAACATCACATCACCATGTATTGTTTAATATCTTTTATACTTTGTCAAACATTTTTTGTTTAATAAATTCAAGTTACTTCATCTGTTACTTTCTGACTTTTATAGAACTGTTACTGTAAGGTATTATAGCCATCTTAGGGAAATGTGTCTGCTGCGTGCCTCCATACCAGTGGGACCACTTGTTGCAGTACATTGTCCAGGACCACTTTCTATAAATCTTAAACCAGAATCATGGAGAAGAGAGTAAGAGAATCAGCTGTGTGTACTGTGTGTATATTATGTAACATATAAACAAAAGCTTAAGTTTTAAAGGGCCCATATTACATTATTTATTACATTTATTCTATGTTATAAAATTGTTTCCTCATCAAAAACACACCTGGAGTTGTGTTTTGTTCATATACACATTTATCACACAAACTCATATGCACATTTAGGCTGAGTTCTTCTCTCAAATAGAAAACACTCTGTTCCACCTTGTGATGTCATGTGGTAATACAGGAAGTGCCCCACTGTGTTTTTAAACTCCACACAGCTTTATTAGAATAATTTGGATAATTTCAGTCCTCGTATTTTGAATCTCTACTGAACAAACAGTAAAAAGTAGCTGTTAACTTGAGAACTACCCCTTGATATGACATCACAAAGTGGAACAGAGTATTTTGAGTTTTTGACATGTAGACTAATAATAAAGGATTTCTTAAAGGTGTGTGACTGAAACTTTAATGAGGTAACAACATTATAACTTGGCTTAAGGTTTACAAGAATCAATTTAGCGTAACATAGGACCTTTAACCTGGTGGAGGTCCAGATCAAACTGACTGAAGGTCCATCCAAGTTTCAAAGGGTGCCTCAAGTGAGCGAGCTAACACTTTTAAATAAAGGTATTCAAAATAGACCGACCCACTCTTAAAAAAACAAAGTAAGCTACTATTCAAAGCAAAAAAAAAAAAGTCCTTTCAATGAACCTACAAATTTAGTCCCATGATGCAGAACAGCAAAAGCCAAAATAGACTCCTGGAAGAAAAACATAATGTTATTTTGGTAGCAGCCGAGTAGAATAAGATGTCTATTATGACAGTACAGAACAAAACGTCTGCTACAGTTTCCCGCTGAGGCAGGTGATGTGGGGCACTTGAGTTTGCTCCTCCGCAAACAGCAGTCCACTGTACACTGAATGGAGGTGGCACCTAAAGTGAGATTTCCCACAATGCAACAGCTGGCACCATTTACACAGAAGTAAAAAGAGGATGATGACAGCCCTATATAAGGACTGTCAAAGAGCTGTCAGGTCACGGCTCTCTTCGTCTCCACTCCTTCACCACGTTCATTCATCCTGGCAGTAGCAGTTAACTGTTCACCTCTACAAAGACAGGCTCACATGTCCAGTCCAGACGAGGAGGACAGTTGTATAAGTGCAGGGAATTACACAATTATAGATCACAAAATTGTGAGGCACAGCAGTCTATTAACCTCTAAAACCATAAAAGGAAAAGGAAAAACACAATTAACAAAAGGAAAAGAGAAAAATTATGTTTAGGTCATGTTTAAGGAGCCTATTACATATAACATTCTTCCTACAAACATCCATGAATGATGAACTTTTCTGATGGGTACTTACAAACATTCAGAGAGATGTTATTGTTTTATTTAGAATGTTTCACAGTATAGCATTAAACATATTTATTAAACATTCATTCATTAGGTGTTTTTATTCCTAAATTATTTCTAAAATATACTAAAACTTTAAAGGTCCTATATTACACAAAATTGATTCTTGTGAGCGTTAAGCCATGTTAGAATGTTGTTACTCACACATCTTTTATTATTAGTTTGTCTACATCTCCAATGCTCAAAATGCTCTGTTCCAACTTGTGATGTCATGAAGTGGTAGTTTTCAAGTTACCAGCTACCTTTTACCTTTAGTTCAGTAGAGACGGGCAATTCCAGGGTTGAAATCATCTAAATGATTCTACTGAAGGTGTAAGTTTAAAAACATAATGGAGCACTTCCTGTATTCGCACATGACACCACAAGAACAGAGAGTTTTCAGTTTCAGAACACAGCCGAAATAAGCAGGGTTTGTGCTTTAAATATGTGTGAACGCAGACAATATCACAATATGGACCCTTTAAGAAACACACATTCTTAGATCTGACCTGTATATTGGTCCTGTAGTCACCAGCTTGTGGCAAAATAGGCGTTTAATGCCATACTGTGTAAAACTCACTAGGGCACTCATGAAGAAGAGAGTTGTTCCCTCTCACTGGACCTTTCCCTGTATAAGAATATACACGATAAAAACTTACACTATATAACACTATATAAACTTAGCCTTTGTAGAAAAGTATGATATTATGGCATTTTCAGTTACAGGTGCTTTTATTGCTCCAAAAATAACCTTGATAAATATGCTTTCTTACTGTGAGAGGATTTGCCTCTCTCTGTGAATTTGACCTGCTTGGCTCCATGGAGATAGGTCAGTTTTGCTATATAGTGGAACATGCCAGGCATAGCAATACAATACAAACTGTAAGAAGAGTGCATAATGTGTACTAAAAATATTATTATTATTATTATTATTATTATTATTATTATTATTATTATTATTATTATAGTATTAGTAGTAGTAGTAGTAGTAGTAGTAGTAGTAGTAGTAGTAGTAGTAGTAGTAGTAGTAGTAGTAGTAGTAGTAGTAGTAGTAGCAGTAGTATATTTATTTGTTTTTTGTTGGTTTATTAATTTTCAGCTTCAGTATGTTGGTCAACTTTCACAAGGGAGAGCGTCTAATTCACAACATGTCACAACACATAATTTCCCTAACGGATCCAAAAGTGCCAAATTTTTTAAGTAAAAATAAATTCAGTTTGTTAAATAATAATAGAGGTAAGTTGCATACAGCTCCAGTAGGGGGAGTCCAGTCATGGCGGCGCTCTGTTTTCGCCGTAAATGCGTCGAAGCAGGTAGTTTCCTGTCGTAAACAAACAGCGCACAGTTTAGCTCAAACCTTACGATTCTGTTTTGGTTTTGTTAACATTTTATTTTTTTGTTAAGTGTGATGAAAATGACACTAAATGGAGAATAAACGCATACGATGAAACTCCGATTGCAGAATAATGCGAGGTGAATAGCTTTTTAATTTGATAGATACGATACTCAGCTAATGCTAACATCTGTTTGGCTATTCCCACAACCAGTGTGCTGAAATAAATGACTTCCAGCAATGTAAAGTTTAGTAAAGTAAACCGGACTGAGAAATAGTGTTTACCCTTGTTCTCATGTATAGTAGAAGTTGTTCACGGATGTAAAGTTTGTTGGTTTAGTATGGCAAATAAGTATCTCCCAATTTAGAAAGATTTTGAAATGTTGATGGTTTTGACACGTCAGGAGTTATTTTTGGGAGTCTTAAAGCTGCACTATGTAACTTTTATGGTGGAGGGTCCGCCACCAGCTGCTCTCCATGGAGATGATAGTGCTTTCCCTGAGTGTTTACGCAGTATGGCATCTATTTTACAATTAAATACAATTGTTTTTAAATACAAGTGTTAGTTCAGGGTCACCACTCCACAGATCTGACCTAAAACTTGGCCTTGTAATGTCACCTTATTATCCCCATGGAGATAAATAAATTTAATGTCACACTGTGCGCTACTCCAGACATTCCAAAGCAATAACTTTTTTTTTGTGGTGCGCCATTCACCAAAAAAGTGACATAATGCATCTTTGATTAATCCTATAAAAATAATGTGTTATAATATTGTTGTTAACATAAATAATTAAATATTTGTTCTGTTCTTGTGTTTAGGAGTGAGTCCAGCAGAGCATCAAAACTGAGGGGTTCTTCAGCTGTGATGCAGTCTCAAAGTGCACAGGAGGCTTCGACAGGACCGAATGATGTAAAACTGTTTATGCAACCAGAGATCAAAACCAGGACCCCCACACTGTGCTCACCCGCTGCTAATCCTGAGGGTGCAGAGGTGCGTGTGCCCATCGCCAGTGGTCCTGGGGAGTCCAGCGGTGGAGCTTCGTCCAGGAGGTCCAGGGCCTCTCACACACACTCTCACTCACACTCACACGGGCGAACACAGCACCAGCCTCACTCCTCGTCTGACCAGGAGCCCCCCGACTCTGATCCAGAATCCGGAGAGCCCAGTACCTCCCTCTCCGAGCTCCGCTGTCTATTCCGGTGGCTTCAGAAGAGTCTTCCTTTCCTCATAATACTGTGTGCTAAACTGGTCATCCAGCATGCTCTTGGTAAGCAGAACATTCAAACCAGAATTACTGAGTTATTGATCACAATAGTCTTTATATATTTTGTTGTAACACATTGAGTTCTTCAGTCTAGTAAATAAGAAATTATATAATCAGATTAAACATTTGTGCATTTACCTTTTTGGATATTTCATGGTAATGTACAATGTATCAGTCAATAGAGATCAACTGGCTCTTTTCCGCCCATCTGAAATCCACCTGAAATGCACCAAGATTGTTTTCAGTTAGATTTTTTCACTCTGTACCTCCTGTTCACTCCGCAGGGTTAGCTATTGGCATTGGACTTTTTACAACATTTTTATATGTGAATAAAGGTATTCAGACTCAAGTGTTTCGCCAGGTAAGACCAGATCAAATTTATATTTATATTAAAAAAACATTCATTTATTTTATTTTATTTTTATTTTATTTTTTCAGGATGGCCACTCGAAGTTTCACTGTGTTTGGTTTCTCGTCTTCCTGAGTTCCTCAACAATCCTGCTTTATTACACATTTAGTACTGAAACACTTCACTACTGGTATGACTAAAGAGATTTGGACAGTACTGCTATGATGAATGCTTTAATCTTGTTTTATATGTGTTCTGCATCCAAACAGTTCAATAAAAATTTCAACTTCAGTTACAACGCAAGCCTAGAACCTAAATCAGCATTATGTTCTAAATCTGTTTCATTTGATTTGTTTTTCAGTCTGATTTTCCTGAGCCCAACCATTGAGCCATTGGGGTTTTGGGAGGTGCTCTGGGCAGTTGGCATCACAAACTTCATCATTAAATTTCTGACTATGGGAATTAAGTGCCTTATTCTGCTGCTTCCCTCCACCCTGGTTACCTACAGATCTCAGGTAAGAGATGGTTAATTACAATCAACAGTGAATATTGGCAAATGTTGTAAAAATGGTGTTTTGTTCTAGGGGAGGTTGTTGATGTTGACAGAGGAGCTGGGTCAGGTTTACCAAGCAGTTGCCCCTGTCCCTTTGTGGTTCCGTTACCTGGTCACGCACCAGGAAGCAGATGGAGCTCCTGGGCTGACATTTGGGGTTGCGCTAGCTTTGCTCTACCTCATAATGAAAGTAAGTACACAGCCACAGTGAGCACTTCCCAAATACACCTGTAGCACATTGACCCATGATCTCTTATCCTCAGCTTTTAGGATTTTATGGACAGTGTTCAGCATTAATAAAAATTCTGAGGATTTGTCTACAGGGCGAAGTAAGTGGCATCTCACTGTAAAGTGCAATTCACATTAAGAAACTTCATGTAGAGTTTTTTTTGTTTCAGCAAACTGGAGCTGCGGCCACCAGGAGTCAGTGTAGTGAGGCTGGAGAGGTGTGTCCCATCTGCCAAGGAGAGTACAGGCAGCCTCGGTCTCTGCACTGTCAGGTGAACACTTGATTCATGATATTAACCTTTAACATCTATAGATACATCTGTAGATCTGAAACATGCTCACATGACTTCCTCCTCCTGCAGCACATATTCTGTGACGAGTGCATTGCTCTGTGGTTTAATCGGGAGAAGAGCTGTCCCCTGTGTCGGACAGTGATCACAGAAAAAGTCTACAAGTGGAGAGATGGAGACACATCTCCACATCTGCAGATTTACTGACAGACCTCAGTTGTGTAAGGCCTTTGGTATCAGATTGCCATAAATGTATTTGACAATGTCAAATCCCACTGAAAATGTATCTTTGTCTTTTACACTGTTCAAGCTAAGGGCTGTTTTTGCAGCCTCATGTTAGAGGGGAAAACTTTTCATAATAGGCAGATTCCTGCTTATTACACCAGTATATTGACCTTTGTAAACTTTGATCAGTTTTATGTCTTGAGTATTTGAAATCGTTTTGTTTTTCCTATGTCTGTGTAGTTAAAGGTGGACTCTGTAACTTTTCTGATGGTGCACTACCTGCTTCTCCGTGGATGTTAATTAAATGTTATTTAACTGTGGACCATTCTAGGTAAAGCAATAACATCCCCAGCAGTTACACAGTGCACCTTTAATTTCAACATGAGGTGAATGTTGCCCTTTGACTGTCTGATATGTTTATATAAGATTATATCCTAAGAATTTAAAATGTATTTAAAATAATTTTTTGAACAAATATGGCCATTTCTGGCCAACTTTATGCAGTGTTCCATAGTTATATGGACTAAAAAATGTGTTGGCGATTCAAAACATTGGTGGGCAAATTTAAAATTGGTCCACATTTGGAGATTATTTTTCTACAGAGGTGCTCGGGTTCTTGTTTTTAATAACCAAAGAATGGGACATATTTTATTAAACCATGTCATTTTTATCCATCTAAATGAATAATAAAAAAAAAAAAAATCAAACATCTTACAAGCGTGTATCATTACAGTGGAAAGAGTCACCATGTTATGTACATTTTACATTTTTAACTCTTTAACCATTCAAGTAAGAAGCAACCAGTTGCTGCTTAACATCATTTTACCATGATGGGAATATGAGCTGGACTGGCATAAATACTTTGTGTTAATTTTACAATAGTGGAATATCATATACAAGGAATCCTAAAGAATAAAGCAGAAAAATAAAATGAAATCCATGTCCCCATTGTACAGAATTTGATAAGGAATGAGACATAAAAGCACTGAATACTGTGAAATGTAACAGTATTTTCTTTATATTCTAGCCTTGGATTAAACCACAGCACAATAATTAATTTTCTTATACATGTCAGAAATCAGAATACAATAACTTCATGGGAGTGTGGTAAAAACCAATATCAAACAGAACGCATGGAATAAAATGTACAGGAATGACAAATCACATTCTGCTGCCTTATTATTAGTGTAATACTAGAACAAAATAAATACATTATTTGCATAGTGAACAATTCTGTGAAAACAAAATGGCACTTGAAATAAATATGAAGTTCTCATAATAATCTAAAAAATTAAATTGTTAAAATAAGCTATTAATATAAAACAATTTAAGTCTGCAACTTAACTCTGATGCACAAGATACAACGTGTATTACCTGGTGTTTGACTAAAGCCTTTTGGTTCTTCAACTGAAAGTTTGTTTGTACTGAAAACTACATGTGTTGGTCTGGCATTGGTAAAATGATACTTCTATTGCTTTTTGCATAATACTTGTACATGTGATATTGTAGCAGGAAGAAGTAAATTTGAACTGACAGATCAATAAAAAAAGACACTGATATGAATTGTGAGCATAATGAATGGGGTTTCAGGAGCCTTCAACCGTTAAAATGGACCGACCCAACAGTAAGTCGTAATGCAGCACAGCTAACTGTATACACTCAGGTGTATTTACATCCAGCAAAAAGAGACAGGCTAGCTCTTCAGAACAGTAACTAAACGAAGACAAACGGCACCAGGAGTTTACTGGTGACGCATCTCAAGGCCAGATTTGATTTCTTTTGAGACCTTTTTTCTAGATTACCCCAAACTCAACTGTTTTTGCTGTGGGGTACAATCAATGGTGTGCAAGCTTCTCAGATTTCTTTCAAACATCCCAAATTTTTGCAATTCTTGCAAATTGCATACTGAGGGGCACTTAAAGTGCAAATGGTAAATCCATTGTACACTAGCATCTCCAGCTGTAAACATAACATTGTCCTTTAGATGGACAGAGCACCAATAAATCATATAATGTCAAAACTTATCACGCAAGTCCCCTTTCTAGAAGTCTCACACATCCCTGACCACTGCTCTTTAAAGACAGTAGATAGAGGCCAAAGGTCAAAGGTCAAGCGAGAAGGCGCTGCTGGAAGAGCTGGTGATCAGCGGAAACAGTGTCAGTCAAGTCTTAAAAAAAACTACAAGTCTCTTAAAAAATGAAGACCTATTAGAAGGAAAATTTGAATATTTCTAAAGTTCAGCAACAAGCCACGTGTCATAAGTTCATTCTTAGATGCTCTGGTCTCTTTGTGTTCAGAGGGTAGGCCTGTTTCTTATATTGTCCTGTGCTGAGGCCTGAGGGCTGTCTGATAGGGAGTGGTGCTGATGCCTCTGTACTTCCACTGCTGCTAAAGTCTGTGTACTCCACAGAGGACACGTCCATGGGCTGTTCAGATACACCAGGAGACAGCACACACGGGCTGTCATTAAGCGCTGGCCCTCGAGGCCAGCAGTCCCCACGGGCGAACTTCACTGGACTGTAGAGACACATTATAAAGTTAGTGTCTGAAGCTATTGTACTTGTTAAAGGTACGCTATGTAACTTTTCCAGTGGAGGGTTTGCCACTAGCTTGATTCCATGCTCAACTACTGGTGTGATACCACCAAAAGTCATGTAGTCTTACTATGGGCAGTGTCGCCTCTTCATAGATCTGACCTGTAATCTGGCCTACTGGCATAAACTGACTGTCTCCATGGAGGAAGTTTAAAGCTGTATGCATATGTATGATGAGGGATATTTACCTTACAGGAGTTCTTGGGCTTCCTGGGAATTTTCGAGGAGAGCGAACTTTTGGTTCAAAGGAAAACTTTTCTTTGATATTTTCCAGAACTGATGGGGCTACATATGTGAAACCCTGTGGAAATGAGACAAAAATATCTGAGTTAGCGTCTTTTTCCAAAAACAACCCACAGCTGATGATGAGCAATGCAGTGCTAAGTAAACCGTATCATGCAGTGTGGTTAACAAGTGAGCACAGCTTCCAGGAATTGAACTCATTCAAAACCAGATGGGACACATTAACTGATTCTTGTAAGAAGTTTAAACGGACCATGAAAACAATAAAAACACTTGAGTATAGTTTGTCTGTATTCCCGTTTAGATTTGCTCTCAAAAACCCTCTCATTATAAAAGCAATATTGTGTAGAACCAGACTTACCAGGAAGACTTGATTAGCACTTTCACTCAGCGTGGAATCATCTGGACTGTCCACTGGCGTCTGACTGGTGAACTTTGAGTCAAACTGGCTCACATCATCAGGCGATTGCTGTGAAAACAACACGCATTTAAAATAACAAGCAGAACATGGACATTTTACATTATGTTATTTGTAAACCACAATATTTATATAAGACAGAATAGAAACCACTGACTTCCTGTTTAAGATGGGTAGGTGAGAACTGAAATTTTCTTAACACTCAACGCTCAAATAAGGGACAATTCAGGATTATTTAAACATGGATGAATAAAATACAACTTTAAATAAGCGTATGATGAAGGAACATTTACATACTAAATAGCTAAACAGTTAATTTTACACCCCCCTTTAAGACTACCAGATACAGAGGGAGCCGTTTCAACAAAGACTTACCAGAAATGGTTTAAAAGGAGGATCTACTTTACGAGCAAGCAGGTCATCCCAGTTTATATGCCGGAAGAAAGGATGAGCCTGGAGATGAAAAGGAGTGAAACAATTAAGAGCCTTGTAATTTGTTCTGTTTAACTTATCCAACAGTTGATTTAAACCACACCGTTTACCTGGACCTCTGCAGCATCTCCTGGGCCACCCCCGAGTCGCACTGAGGCATTCCTCTTCAACAGCTGGAAACAAAAGGTTCATTTGTTTGTTTTTGTTGCTTTATTGGATCTTGATGATGTAACATGGAGATTTTACCTTTTTTAGGAGGTCTCTGGCTTCTTGCGTCAGATAAGGTGGAAGGCTAAGTTTACATTTCAATATTTTGTCAATGGTCTTCTTTCTGTTTTCCCCAGTAAATGGCGGCTAGACACAGAAACCATCTAACTGTTATGATGCATGTTGAGTCAAAGTAAAGCATTCACTGGTCAGCACAAAATTAGACAAAAATACAGCTTAATACCCACTCCCTTTGACTGCCAACATATTTTTTTCTCTTTTCATGAGAAGCACAGTGTGTGTGCTTGTGTATTGATTGGGTGTGGACTTACTGCTCCGGTCAGCATGTCGTACATGAGAGCACCCAGACTCCACCAATCGACTGCTCGATTGTGTCCACTCCTCATCAGGATCTCTGGAGCCCTGTACAAGAGCAGAGGAAATCACATGGTACAAACATGATACAAACATGATACTCTGCCATAGGAGCAGACAATAGAGAAGCATGTCACATACATATATTCAATGGTGCCACAGAAGGTGTGGGTTACAGTGCCATCATGGATCGACTCCTTGCAGAGACCAAAGTCCGTTAATTTCACATGCCCTATAGAATAGAAATGATGCATCAAAATGTGACCAAGTGCAATGAAAAAGGCAGAGGTCATTTTAATGGCCTTTACCATTGTTGTTCAGCATTATGTTTTCAGGCTTCAGGTCTCTGTAGATGATGCCTTTCTTGTGCAGGTGGCCCAAAGCCATGGAGATCTCGGCCAGGTAGAAACTGTCAATGAATTTAATTAAATAATTGTTGCACTATTTCTGTTTATTTCAATTTCAACATTAAAAATTTCATCATCTGCCTCTAATAACATAAACAGCATTTTGAAATACTGCCTGCTTTTACACCTTTTTAGACTTATAAAAGGTTGCCTGTAGTTACCATGCTGTGTCCTCCATAAATATTCCTTCTCGTTCTAGTTGCATAAATAACTCCCCACCTGCAGAAAATACAAAATATCAAATTTATATTTGAGGAAAGAGACCATCATCACATGAAGTCTATTTAATCAGGCACCAAGACACTCACCACTGAGATATTCCAGGATAAGATACAACTTTCCCCCAGTCTGGAAGGCATAGATGAGGTCCACAATAAATGGATGCTTCACCTCCTCCAGAATGTTGCGCTCAGCTTTGGTATGAGCTGTATCCTTTGCATTACGAACAATCATGGCCTGGAAGAAACACAACAAATACCTGAATAATAAGTAATGTACACTTTCTAAAATCATAAATTTACTTTGCACATAAAACATGCACTACAGAACTTTTATGGTGGAGAGCCACCACCTGCTTGTTACTTAGAATGTTCAACGGTGATAAAACATATTCGTCTCAGTGGAGACAAGCAGGTGATGCTACTTGGCCAAGTTACAGATCAGATCAGTGGAGAGGCCACCCCACACAGTAAGAACACTTTTTAAAATGTATAAAACATGTTTATTTTAATAAATGCAAGACTAGATTAATGCCACACTGAGAAATATTCCAGACAAAGCATTGCATCTCCCTGGATACAAGAAAGTGACAGAGCCCATATTAGAAAAAATACATAGGGTACCTTAAATAAAAAAATAAAAAAAAAGAGCTGTTGCCATCACAATAAGTTTTGTGACAATACCGGGAAACCAAACTGAACAGAGGTTTTCTAGGAAAAGAATGTTTATTACAAAATATTTCAAAATGCAACAGAACAGACAAGAGAGCAACAGTCCAGTACCACAACTAAACCACCCACACAAGCAGCTGTGGTGGATTTGAAATTAGGATGAATTTAAACACATACCTTCTTCAAAACCTTCATGGCAAAAATCTTCCCAGAAGCAGCACCTGTTACCTTACGAACTTGAAACACCTGAAAAAAAATAAAATAAAAAATACCTGAATACATTTCTGGTACAGCAACATTGATGTGTTTCAGATATGAATCTGGAAGTGTCTACATAGAAAAAAAGTTTTGGTATATTAATAGTTGCATAAATTTCATATGTAAATCATTTGTAACTGCATTGTAAAAAAAAAACAAAAAAAAACACATGCAATAGCTGGAGCGATTAATAACATTTTATGGGTTGATGGACATGTTAATTACAAAAATATTAATACCTATGCCTCATTGTCATAGCTCACAAATATGGTTTAAAATACAGTTGTATCAGTGTAATGTAATATTTACATATGATTAGTCTAGTATGTCTGTGCATTGTTACTTTCTAATACCTTTCCATAGCCGCCTTTTCCCAGAACTTTCAGAAGCTCAAAGCATTCAGGTCTAATCTGCTCTGTTCCTTTGTTTACACTGTTCTCAGATATTTCAAACTTCTCACAGCCATCCATGTTACTAGTGAAACAAAAAGGAGGACAAAAGATAAGATCAAAAGGAACAACATATCACAAATCATTTCAAACATGCTGTAAGACACACTGTTGCTACAGCTTTATACTTCTACAATACAACATAGTGTACTGATTATTGTTTTGATATAGAAATCACCACATTAAAAATATGTTTACACTTACAACTCAAACCCGCTGCTACATTGGTCCATGTATTCACTCTGAAACAGAAGCAGCACAACACATGGTTTATTAGGTGAGTAACATTCACTGTTTACATTTCTAATGCAGTATTGTAATAGTTGTACACATGTCTGACTGATAAACATATCTAAGATGACCAGATGTCCCTATTTATCCGGGACAGTCCCAGTTTTGATCCCTGAGTCCCCTGTCTCAGCAGATTTATCCAAAACCACTGATTTGTCCCAGATTTATACAAGAAATGTCACAGGTGTCCCTATTTTTGACCCCTGACAACAGTAAAGAGAAGCGTACATCGTGATTTTTTTAAAACGCAAAATACATGGATATAAATGACAAAAACACAAAGAAAATGTGACTATACTGACTCACATTAGTTCCGAGTGCGTAACAATTCTCATTTCAGTTTTACTATTACCACCAACCCAAACCGGGGATGTCCCAGTTTATTTTGAAAAACTGGACACCCTAAATATACCACACAGAGCTATAAAAAAAAAAAAAAAAAAGAAGAAGAATAGGGTACAAGTGTAAATACAACAAGTACGCAAATACAACACGATATCTTAATTGCCTAAACAAACCGCGGTCTTTGTGACAAAAGCGACTGTACCGGTGGGAGGGTTATGTTTGTGGTTTATTCCACGTATGTCTGAAAAGTGCCGTATATCTATTAGTTATTAGGTATTGTCATTTTTTATTATTACAGTGTTTGTCGTGCCGTACCATGTGTTACAGAGCTTTAAGTTTACGAGCAGAGCGATGTGTTGAATCTGGCGGGGTTCAGGTGGGAAAACACCGGGCGGCGTTGCTAAAATAATATTAGCGGGGAAACAACGTCAACACTCTGGCATTACATTTATGATGATAACGACTGAGCACAGTGAAGTGAGCATGAATTTTCTACGCTGTGTTTATTCTACTCTAAGAAATACCGCTCTTTAAGGTGTGTATTACTGCAGTTTGCTTTAAAAAAAAAAGGCCTCGGAGCTAACACGCACATGCTAACTCGAGGCTAACCGGCTAGCATCAACCCAACAACTCACTCCGTCCTCAAACTCGTCCTCAGACACGATGTCATCCGGCTGATCCAGATCTATGTCGAAGACTCCGGCCATTTCCACTGTCATTTTAGCCGTGTTTATCCGGAGAACAGTATACCGCTGGGCCGCTTCATGTGAGAGCCATCCCCACTGCGCCAAACCGGCAAAGCGCACCTCCTCCTACAGCATGGGCTACTACGAGGCTAATGCTAAAGGCTAACCACAACAACAGCGCAGAGACACCGGGTACAGGGCGCCTCTAGTGCAGCGTGGTCCTGTCCCGCTATTACACCACCATCATTTCAATATCCCCCCGTATTAATACAGAATACTTGATATTTATTTGCATGTCCGTTCAAACAATGATGCCAGGTATGTTTTAATTTTAGTAAAGTGTCCAGACGTCCCTGTTGACCCGGGACAGTCCCAGTTTTGAGCCCCGTGTCCCCTGTCCCAGCAGATTTATCCAAAAAACAGTGATTTGTTCCATTTTTATTCAAGAAATGTCCCAGTTTGATTGAATTTGATATCTGCCAACAAAAGAGAGGCATAAATTATAATTGGTTTAGATAAAATACAGAAAAGCATGCTTAAAGTTCACCAAAACGCAAACAAAATGTAATTATACTGACTCACATGTTTGTCATGAATGGACCGAGCGCATTACAATTTTCCTTAATTACACAATCGTTTCACAATTTTATTATTACCAACCACCCCACAAAAGAGTCATAATCTGAGGGACTTCTGACGATTTTATTTATTTATTTATTTTGCTTTATTGTCATTTGCAAACACGGATTTCTGTGTTTTGGCTAAACAAATAACAATTTATGCATCTCTTTACTGTTGGCGGGGATTTGATTAGTCAAAAATTGTGATAGTCCTGTTTTAGTCCTGGTTTAGACCTGCTGTAGTCCTGGTTTCGTTTTAATTTAGTCTTGGTTTAGACCTTTATATCAAATTGGTCAAAAATAGGGAAACTTGGGACAGTGATTTGTCCCAATTTGATCCCTGCCAACAGTAAAGAGAGGCATACAATGTCATTTGTTTAGATTAAATACAGAAAAGCTGCTTAAAAATGACCAAAACACAAAGAAAATGTGACTATCCGGACTCTGACATTAGGCCGAGTGCGTAACAATGTCCCTTAATTACGCACTCGTTTCAAAGTTTTATTATTACCAACCAACTCAAACTGTTTTTTATTTTGAAAATCTGTTCACCCTATTTTAGGTGGTAGCCTACTCGAGAACTCAACTGTGAGGTGCCCCTGCTGCCCATCCCCAGATCATCCCCATTATCAGCCTGGGTAAATCATGATTAATTCACTGTGTAAAAGGTTTCACCAATGTCAGTCGGTAGGTGGCGCTGAAATCGAGGCATGTTGAGTAGCGGAAAAATCAACCAGAAAAGGCCAAGTTACTCGAGTAATGCGTAAAACGAGATACCGCTGTCAGTTGCAATTTGTTAGAATATCATATTAAACCCAATTTAGGGAATTGAAAAGTTGACACCACACTGGTAATTGTGAAATTAATAACACAAAAACTTGTATAATTTTGGGCCATCAATGAATCGTGTAGAAGTTAGGGTGTAGGGTGACCAGACATTCCTATTTACCTGGGACAGTCCCAGTTTTGAGCTCTGTGTCCTCTGTCCCAGCAGATTTATCCAAAACCAGTGATTTGTCCCAGTTTTATACAAGAAATGTCCCACGTGTCCCTACTTTTGAAAACAAACTAAGACTAAACCAGGACTACATCAGGCCTAAACCAAGTCTAAAACTGGACTATCACAATTTTTGACTAATCACATCCCCGCCAACAGTAAAGAGGAGCATAAATTGTAATTTGTTTATCCAGAATACAGAAATCCGCGTTTGCAAATGACAATAAAGCAAAAAAAAAAAAAAAAAAAAAAAAAAGCAGCGTCACTCAGAAGTCACTCAGATTATGACAGACATGAGAATGCATAATCTTACAACTCTTTTGTGGGGTGGTTGGTAATAATAAAATTGTGAAATGAGTGCATAATTAAGGAAAATTGTAATGCACTCTGCCTGTTCATGACTAACTTATTAACTATAACTGTGAGTCAGTATAATTACATTTTGTTTGTGTTTTGGTGAGTTTTAAGCATGACTTTATGTATTTTATTTAAACAAATGATAATGTTTGCCTCTCTTTATTGTTGGCAGGTATCAAATTGGCCAAAAATGCCTGGGACATTTCTTGTATCAAAATTAGACAAATCACTGGTGGTGGTGGATAAATCTGCTGGGACAGGAGACACAGGGCTCAAAACCAGGACTGTCCTGGGTAAATAGGGATGTATGGTCTCTCTATCGTGTAGCTCATTTCCATTTTCTCAGTGGCTTAGTGGTTCCAAATATTTTTTATTTTTTTTGTCTTGAGTACCTTCTAAACTTTGTCTTACACTTTGAGTAAATAATTGCGACTATATATTGGGCTATATTGTCAATAATGTTTATTTAGTTTTAATTTTATTTATCCATAAGTTCCAATCCATACCTGTTATTAAGAATATCAAATGTACTACAAAGAACATTTTATATTCAAACAGCCCACTGTTAATTCCATCTTTCTTTAAAATCGGAAATCATTCCAAGTAGGCCTGCCTCCTGACAAGTGGTCACTTACCTTTCCCCCTACCCCTGATTGAGAAACACTGTGGATGGCTTAGTGACCAAGCTGTTTTTGTATGTTGTCAGATTGTTTAGACTTGTTTTATGTTTACAGAAGGACAGAAGACTGTAATGTCCTACCACTGACTCTGTTGTGGTTCTCTGTGGTGAGTTGAGGTCAGAATGATGTTCATACAAAGTCATAGCCTATTGAGGTTTGGCCCTTGTCACAGCCCTTGTTTAAATTCAACATCAGATTCTATACACTTTAAATTATGGCCTACAGATATGCTATAGCCTAACAACCCTACAGGAATAACATAACTGCTTTAAAAAGTTCAATTTGCATAAAGACAGCTATGTGAAAATGTCTGGGAGTGGGAGCAGACAGGGAGCCAGCAGAGGTGGTGTACCGTTCTGTTTATTTGTCAGAATGTTTCCAGTCCAGAAATTATGGTGTATGCGGCGTGTGGAGAGGCTGGTGGCCTTTTCTGCTTAACAACTCCCTCAAAAGTAACAAAAGCCTCATTGGAGAATGGACTCAGCTGAGCATCCAAACAAACACGTGGATGGAGAAGCTGATGCTGCTGTTGTTGCTCTGTGCTTCATGTTGGCCACATGAAGCACAGAGACAAAATAATTTTATAATAAAAGTATGGTGCAGGCCAAAATAAGGGGAAACAGACTGGTGTCCTATAGGGCATGCACTGGCTGCTGTTTGACCTGTTCTATCTTTAAAGGTATCATTAGGCCTAAAATATGTCTGTTACATATCAACATGGGTGTTTAAGGAACTGTAGCATAGGTATCCTGCCTGCACTCTTACTGTTAAAAAATATTCTACTACAGTCACAACTGAACCTGGACTGGACAATACAAGTTTTTCATGGACTGGTCAAGTGTCCTGTGAAAGCTCATCCTCCAGAATTCTCTCACTGAGCTGCGGAGGCTGCACTAGCACTGATTCATGATTGGCTGCAGGGGTTGGAGTTAAGGTAGAGAGGATTCAGATCAGAGACAATCCTTTTAATTTAAACCATGATTGCAGCATTGAAACTGGCAAACCAAATGAGAAACTCGCGTGAGGCTCCTTCTACTTTCTGTTTAGATAGTTGTCTTGAGAACCAAAACACAAAATTATAACATAAACAACTTGGCCACCATGTCCACTGGTTTTGTAATTAAGAATAAATAAGCATTAGAATTGTTATCAGTAAAAGCTTTTTGATTTGAACATGCCTACCTCATTGGGGACACAGTTAGGTCATGTTTATGTAATTTAAAATGAAAATCTTATTTACAGTTCCTTTCAAATTATATGTCTAGCTTGTGCATCCCTTTCTCTTAAACAATTATGAGAAGAACTCAGGTATGAAGTGAGTCATAATCATTGTGTCATTCAAGCTAGACTGATTTGCATTTACAGCAGGAACACCTAGGCCTTCACATTCCCAGCTCTGGAATGCTTGGAAGGCGGAGTGGGGCATTCCTCTGTGATATTTGTGAGGTGGCATCATGTCGTGACACAGAGACATGTGCAGACATGTTGAGCCCCAGGACACAGCCTCTGCTCCGGGAGGGAAGTCCAACAGTCGGATTGAAAGTCAGTGACGTCTGCCCTCTTCAAACAGCCCAGTGCTTTCATGTGGCTCCGCTCCTGTGTCTTTACACCCACTCTTCACATGCCATGCACTTTATTAGGTTTTCTCTGTTCAAAGGAATTTAGGGCTTTGGATGCACTGCACACCTGATAGATTTAGATAACCCCAGCCGTAAAAAACATGGATAAATAAAAAGCATGACCAGATTCACATTTACAAGGACTTATATTGTATTATGACCTGATACCAATAGGTGGACATCCTATTGAAAGCTCATGAAGCGTTATGAAATATTATCAGTAAAAAAGTATTGTAACTTCTAATTTATGCATTTATTTTCCAAAATTCAGGACTAAAAAATACTTAAATATGAGTGCTTACATTACATTTGGAAACCAGTAGTGATTATAAAGAAGAGTCAGAAGAAATAACAGGCTACTCCAGGGACCAGTCACAGCAGCTCAGTCACAGAAGCCTCCTAGCAGAATTGTTAAGAATAGTAATAAGAAGAGTTTATGTTTATATATTTCTATACAAGCTTAACACAACCCATGAGGTATTATTAATTCATGACTGGCTTGAGTGGTAAGTTACAATCACTTAAAATCAACATTAGAGGAGTGAGTCCTGCCAGTATATTGAAGATCACACTGAATAAGCAAGTACATTTTTGGGCCATTTTTAAGCCTATTATTTGTCAGACAGGTGGTAATGTGGGAGCTGTAGTTGCCTTGTAATAGTTAAGTACTAGCAGCAGTAGAAAACCTTGGGAATAGGATTTTAACTTTTCACTATTAACAAGATGTAATATTTTGTTTTAAATTGTTAATTATTTCGGGAACAGTGCTAATGTTTCATCATTCTGAAGCCCATGGATAGGCTCGCTCACAGCTCGTGGTAGTCACTGGTGAGACATTCGTTCATATTAGATTCAAAAGAGACCTGTAATGGCCTCTTTCAGAGTGAGTTGAGGACTCAGAGGCTGAAGTTGCTGATAAGTCTTGTTTGATCTGGGAGAGCCGTAACCACAATAGAAGAATCAAAGGCTTGAGGCGTTATGAGTTGGGATGTGATTGCCAATAATTATACAGAATAGTGCGTATGTGAAATAAAAGAAGGCACTTTAGAAATGAAATCTTTACTGCCTTTTGATAGTTGTCTTTTGGTAAAGCTTTAAGTTTAGAAATGATTTTAACTATTGTTTTAGTACATAATGCTCTGACAAATACTTAAAGATAAGCATTAACTAACTTAAACAAACACAGAATAATAGATGATGACGTCAATTCAAGATGGTTTACACAACATAAACACCAGGCCTATGCTACCCTGCATAACCTGTTCAGTGTAGTACCCTTACTGAGAACCCAACATTTAGAAATAAACTCATTATGATGTTTGTATTTAAAGGTGCACTATATAACTTTGGAGGACTGGGGGTTCCACTTAATTAAACTCATCCAATGTACATTTATTTATTATTGCTCAAAATTTCTAGAAACATGCAATCTTGAATAGGTGAATAGGGTCGTCTCTCCATATATCTGACTTGTAACAGACTGGTGGAGTCTCCTGCTTGTCTCCATAGAAACAGATACATTTATTGCCATATTGTGGAATATTCCAAGTGAGAAAATTAATGAAATTCAACAGAAAATTCATATAGTGCACCTCACAACTTACCCTTATGTAATAGACAACCCTATGGCAGTCATTATTTAATCATTGCACTATTTCTCCTTACGAATTTTGCATATCACTGACTTGAATGTATTATTACCTTTTATATTTTAGTTCTTTGTCATTATATGCATTGTGATGTGTGAGCTAGCCTACTGTGTCTGTATAATTTCCCTTGTGGATCAAAAATGTTTTAATATTTGAGATATTAACTTGCTCTTAAGTTAACTTGATCTCTCTACATTTTAAATTTTTTTTTCTCTGATTTTGACTGACTGAAGTTTGGCATGTTCCTCCTTTACTCAAAAAAAGACAAAACAATCTTAATGTGTAGTATGAGCAAAGGCAAAAACATCTTCACAGTGAAAATAATGTAATAAGACAAAATCTGAGAGCAACTAAGTGGGCGAATGTAAGAAGAGTGGATTTTTGGGTGGGTGTGGATGAGACCGGTGATATTTCAGCATCCCCCTGTGGTCGCAGGGCTGGACAATTGATCAAATTTGAATTGAGATTTGAGATTCAGTGATCTCGAATCATCAGTAATACACTTTAATTCTATAATACAAAATTTTAATGGAGACAGTAAATCCTAAAGCAGTAAAAAGTGTGTGGTGTGAAGCAGATTCAGACTTAGGAGGAAGAAATTCAACACTTTTTAAATATTATTTTTGCTCTTGTTTGATTTTCTTGTTTTATTGTATTAACAAGGATGAGTAGAGTTAAATAAAGCTTCATTTTATATACCCATGGTATTGTTTTATCTGTCTGGTGCAGGACTATGGAAAGTTTTTTGTTTATGAGGTGTGATATATATATGTAGTGGCCTGGATTATGTTAAAAGATAATTATTATTTGATTATTTATTTTCAGGAAATTAATATCGGAAGCCATTTTGTTTTGTTTTTAAATGGACAACATAAAATTGAAAAACTTCAGCAAAAAGTATGTGACAAACCTGGAGATACATTTTTTTCACAGGAAACGAGGAGAGGACGATGTAAAGTGTAGTAAAGGGAGGAGGAGGAGTGGGCTGGCTGATCCATCCTAAATGAAAACCAGTGTTACCGGAGCAGAATATACACTGATCATGTGCCACATATGGAGGGAGAACGGAGCCAGGACAAAAGGCTGTGTGGTTATTTGAATATCAGACCCCCGGCGTGTTTGGACAGGCAGGATTTGCATGTTGGGTTTTCAGCTTGGGCCCTGGGGCGGTATGAAGAGGCTGGGGTGAGAGAGGGAGAGCGGACGGGTGGGGGAGCTCTGGGTGTGGCAATGATGGGAACAGTCAGGTCAAATGCAGCATGACCTGAAGGCCCAAGAGCATCGTCTATTTACTTGTTTTTAAAGATGCACTGTGTAACGTTTCAGGTGGAGGGTCCGCTACCTGCTTCTTGTTTCCATGGGGATGTTATTGCTTTGCCTAGAATGTTCTTCAGTGTGGTGTAAAAGACGTCCACCTCCACTGAGACGAGCAGGTAATGTCACCACGCCATGATACAGGTCAGATCTGTGGAGAGGTGACTCCACACAAACAGTAAGAATTTGTACATGTATTTAGAAGCAAGAAAAAAAATACGATATAGAGATAAAGCAATACCATAAAATAACACATTTAACATATACATATATTAAATTGATATTATATATGAATAATTCGATATATTTATTATAAGTAATTAATTCAGCCTAAATCCTTTCACTCATAATTTTGATTTGGTTTCTGATTCTTGCCAAGCTGTAGATGACCAAATAATACTACTAATAATAAATACAAGATTGAACACTCAAAGCACACATCTCCATGGAAACAAGTACGCAATAGTAAACCCTCCACCAGAAAAGTTACACAGTGCAGCTTTAATCACCCAGGTACAGTTAGGACAAAGTATAAAATGAATATTCACATTCAGTAAGATATAATAATGTTACATCATGTATTTATATTGAAAGCCCATCTGTTTTTCCTGCTCAATTGTAATACTAGTAAAACCCCTCTCCCAGGTCATGTGAGAGGCATATGAACATGCCAAGCTCTGGAACAGGAGCCGGACTGTAGCCGAGATTCTCCATAACTCACAGTAAAGCTTCGACTTGGAATCTGAAATGGAGATGATGTCAGGGTGCACAGAGCAAATTGGTAATGTGATAACCGCTCGGACGTGAAACCTTAGCCGGGGAAATTGGAGTTGTGATGGGCTTGGTATCTGACATGTGAGGCCCAGGGGTCAGCTATGGCACAGACTTAAGTTATCACACAAATGAAGAGAAGGGAGACAAGGAAACTCTTTTGAATGGACTTTATTTAGAAAGAAGACAACTGACAAAAACAAGAGTACATTTCTGAAATAACCCAGGTACAAACATGACGTAAACATTTAGTACACTTTCTGGAGTACAGAGAGAATTTCTAGAAGCTTACAAACACGTAGTGAGGCACATGCCAAAAGGGGGCTCCCTCATGGAACAGGACATTCTGAAACAGCCAAGAAAAACACACTCCCTCAGCCAGAAAGCCATTCCTGTCTTTTCCAATGATCTAATTTTTGCTTTTAAGACCAAAATGTTTTACGTCTAGAAGAAATTTAAAAAATAAAATTGTTTTGTAGAATAGAGTCAATTCCAAAAATCAAATTTGTGCTTTTCAGACCAAAATGTTTTAAATCTAGAAGAAATTGAAAAAAAATTAAAGTAGAATAGTAACCAGTGAACAGACAATAATTTCCCACTAGGAATTTACATGACAAAAACCCTTATGATAAGCTATTGTAATAAAATGCACAGTCCAACAAAAAAGTGTTATTGAGCAACTGTGGGAAGTTCTTTGTTATAGAAAAGAGGGAAGTGTAAAAGGGAAGGGAGCTGAGCACTGCGTGTACCATACCTAGAACTGGGTGTCACAATACAATGTGTTGCAATGAGGTGTGTTCTGTCTGGATTCTCTGGAAATTCAACAGCTAAAGCCAACTAAAAAGCACGCATGGTGAAGCGGATAAATCATGAAAGTATTAGCACCAACAAGTGAGAAACAGTTCCTCGTAAAAAACCTCCACAAACGTCATCATAGAGGAAATAAACAAAAGGGTGACTTCAGTGTTCCCATAGCAGAACACACCTCCGTACGGGAACTGATGCTAAGTGAGACAAAGACAATACGAGAAGAGGACTAAGCAGGATCAGATGAATAAGCTCAAAATGTCAGACAGCTTACAGACTGTTGTCGCCTTGTAATCTTAACAGCCAACACCAGTCTGATAAGCTATCTGACAAACCGAGTGCCGAACATGTCCGTGGCTCACATGTACACTAACAATAAAGGAGAAGAAATCCTAATCGTACTTACCGTGGCAGAGGAGAGGAGAATGCTGTGAGCTGAGCAGGAGCAAAGGGTTCAGCATGCTTAACAGTACCCCTCTGTTTTGAATCTACTCGAGTGATTCGTCTCCTGGCTCCGTGACTGGGGCAGTGCATCGAGTTCATTGGAAGGTTCAGTTGAGGTAACACCACAGACGCTTTTCACTCTGAGCTTTTTTTCCCTCCGCCCGTGCCTGCTCTACTCAGTCCAGCGTAGCACAGCACAGCAGCGCCAAGGACCCAGCACCAAAAATACTATATTTTGGTGGAGATTTTAGGGGAAAAAGAGATAGATTTGTGCTCCGATAAGAAAGGAAAGACAAAGATGGATTAGAAATAAGGCGTTAGGTGGTGCTAGGGAGATGATGTAAGATCTAAAAGGCACACAGCTCCCTGGCTATGGAGACAAAGAAAAGCAGCCAGCCTGACTCTGTTAACTGAAACAGAGGAGTAAATGACAAGAGGCGAGACTTTGGGACAGACTATTAGCATATACTGTTCTAATTTAATTCAGGAAAAATGGAAATGACCACACTAAACTAGACTAAGCCAAAAATACCACTCACTCTATACTGTACTGTAGTATAGGACTGCATCTGGTAAAGCCCCCAGGCTGACTCATGGCTCTTCCTGTAAGCAGAACAATACGAGCAGACAAAGGACCAGTACACTGATTGACTGAGAATTTATGTTCTCCCTGCCAAAAGTAAACTATTCTCAACAGTTAATACAATAGACTACACAGGATTCATATCTTTGCTACTACTGACCCACTGATCTACAAGTTACAAACTACTATGAAATCGACAACTGAAAATAGCCTTAAAATGAAAAATATCCACAAGGGAATACAGCAAGAAGCATATTCCTTCAAAAAATAATCTGAATTTTCAAAAGGTTAACTGAAAGCGCCGTGGGATGTTAGGTCCTTCAAATATACAACTTGATGCTTAACTGGCTACATTTATTCCACTCAGTTATCCCACACATGCTGAAATATACAGTCTATAGTACAACTGAAATATCCCAAGATTTAGGCTACCACCTACCTTAGCAGAAATAATTACTAAAGACTTCACAAGCAAGTAACTGCAAGTCCAAGTTCAACATAAACAAGTTTGTACAATAAGAAGGAAACCAGACGGAGGCAGATAATGGAGGGTTATCAGCTGAAAGGAGAGTAGAAATTAGTGCAGAAGTCCTCTGAAGCTTTGGGACTCTCGGCCACCCACACTTCCCCTGGTGCTGGAGCCCGAGGTGAGATGACAATGCAGCACAAAGGAGCACATCGTGAAGAGCCTGGTAGAAGATCCATGTCTGAAGCTACAGTGTCCCTGTGAAGAAGCAAAGAAGTCCGTGAGGGCTCCTGATGCCGCAGCTCCATGTGCAGGACAGATAGAGATCAGGGGTAATAAAACACGCTGCAACCCCCACCACCTCTCTCCAAACGCCCCCACTGACCCCAGCCTGCAGCCTGCCTCCACCAACTTAAATTGCCTTGCTTCTCTCCTGTAACTGCAGGAGGCTCAAGTTACAAGAAAAAAGGAACATTGTTCTAGAAATGCCTTAATCTGTCCTTATGCAACTCAAAGTCTACCCTTTCTTTGGCTCCATCCGAGTTAGCATGTAAAAAAGAATAATGGTTTTCAATGAATCAGCGAGTAGAGAATGAATCAAGTGAGAGAAAGCCGAATGAGCTGTAGCAAAGAGAAAAGAGTCTTTTAAAGAGAAATCGGCTAGTGCTACAACTGGCTCTTTTTGTTGTAGACAGGGGTTTTGATGGATTGTCACTAGTGGAGGGGCCCCCGCCCTGGTCCAGAGTCAGCGCTGAGTTCAGGCGGGGCACTGAGTGCAAGTGTGTGTGTGACACTAAGGGGAGTGACCACAGTCACACACACTCTCCCATTGGTAAGACAGAGCATGAGTCAGCACGCCCCATGCTACAGTAGTACACTTGAATACAGGGAGAAGGCAGACCCCTCAGTGGCCCCTCTCCTCTGCCCTCCCCCTCTCCTCTTTCGCCTCCTCCCTTCAGCCCGCCTAGTGCAGCGCTCACACTCCGTCACTCAGGCCCTAAATTAGTCCCATGCTCTAAACTATCAAAGTAGTAAAATCTCAAACTACTTAAGTCTAAATTTAAAAAAGTGACTTGGTCAAAAGTAAATAAAAACTAAAGTTTGACAGGATGCTGGTGGTCCTAGGATTAGGTAACAGAAGCCCATAGCCCTAAAAGGAGGATTAGATAAAGAGGGACAACAGAGGAGCGAGAGAGTGAAAGAGAGGCAGAAGTGAGGGGCCATATTCTTTGGCGCGCAGATGTGAGTGAATGGGGCTGAGGCCCCTGTACTTACAGTTGGGACCCCTCTCGGATGCCGAGAGCCGCTCGGCCTTCTGGGCCTCCAAGTGTCTCTGAAGGGCTTCTGCAGTGCCGCACCCAGCAGTGGAGCCTATGTCCAACAACACAAGAGAGGAGAGAGGGAGAGAGGAAAAGGAGGGAAAGAGGGAGGGAAGGGAAGAATGGGGGTGGGGGGTGCAAATCACGTCACATCATTGTTACTCACCAGCCCAAGGGCAGCAACAAAGAGAGGCATGCTGTCCTATCTCCTGTACAGTGTCGGCCTCTCGCTTCCTCTGAGAGAAGAGAGAAAGACGGAGGGATCAACGGGTGCATCCCCCCACACACACAAACAGGAAAGAGAAAAAAGTACAGTCTGTGCCCCGGCTTCAGCTAATAAGACGCTTTTTCACTAAAAAGACAAGAGACAAAGACGAAGAGAGAGAGGAGAAGCAGAAGTGTGCGGTGCGTGGCTGGAGCGTCTGTGGCGTCTGCAGTATTGAGTGCGCTCAGCTCCTCTCAGTCTGCGTACACACATGCTCACTCCCTCTCTCCCTCGCTCTCTCTCTCTCACACAGCGGTGAACCCGTTCAACTCCCCTGCAGTGCCTCCTCTGCCGCTGCAGCGCGCAGAAATGAATGACTTCTCAGAACTCTCACATTTATCACAGGCGGTTCCTGTAAGAACTGGTTTCAGCCAATTAATGAGGAAGTGAGTCGTACCCGAGCTGTGTGATCACTGGCTGAGAGGTGGAGGGGATGGCCCAGGGGGGAGGGCACTGCTGTAAGACGGCCCATATTAGGAAACCCTTTACAAGATTTAGCCACCAACTACAATGTACTACCGATCAACCTCCACTCCCTCCTCACACTCAAAAAAAAAAAAAAAAAAGACGCTGCAGAGAATGCCCTAGAAAAGTGAATTGGTTGCCCATCCCAAAACTCAACTTAGTAATTAATCACCAAACAAATGGATACTGTACAAACACCTCCACCTATTGTCTCCCTTAAGTCAAACCTGCTTTATATTTCAAAACACTGATGTTGTTTACCTTTGAAGTGTCCGAGCCTTGAAGAGCTGAACAAAGATATGTGTGCGTGGGCAGATATGGCACATACGGTTAAGTTTATAGCTGATAACTTTCCTTTTAGGAGGGAGCTTATTTCCGTTCCTCCCTCAAACAAACGTGCGATTACACCTATGTTGTGAAGCCCTTTAGAAATGATTAACTTTATAGCAGGTAATGGATACTTCTGAATGAGAATAAAGCTGGGAGGAAGCTACAGATGAGAATTACAAAAAGATTTGGTGAAAAAGGGTATCAAAAATCCAATCGCACTTTTGGTAGGGAAATGCCTTGTACTCCCATCCCCCACACGAGAAACTTTAGACTTTATAATAGCATTTGTAAAAATTGAATAAATGATGAAATAAACTTGAAACTTGACAAAAAAGTTGAAATAGTCTGGAAAAGTTAGTAAATTGTAGTAGTTTAGTGGGCAAAAGTAAACATGCAAGAACAAAGAAAAGTGTTCAGAAATGGCGGGCGAATGCTCTCCTACACGATGAGCAATACTGAGTCATGAGCCTGGGCAAATCCACTAACAAAGACAGACCAAGCACGAGACTAAAACCATTTTTAAGTCTCTCATTGAGGACCTACTCTGCATTTTTGGGTTGAAACTTATGATTTTTTATCCTCTTTGGAGCACGCTTTTTATAGTTTCTTCATGTTGACTGGGGAATGACCTCTGTAAGTCTGTTCACCATTTGCTGTTAAGTTATGGGAAGTTGTACTGTATGTAATGAAGTGTATTTATGGTGCATGCATGAATAAATATTTAGTAATGATTTGTAAAGTGCTTAGTAAACATTTAAAGCATAAACCAGTGTATGGATTATTTCTTTCCAATTTGTAAAAAAATGTGCAGATTAATTTGAGGTGATGGTTTGTGTGTAAGTTTTAGAAACACTCAAGAAGCTATCAGCAAAAGTAGTTTAACATTTAAAATGTAAACAATAATAATAATAAAAAAAAAAAATATTACAATCACTTTAAAACGCTTGGAAATTTAGTGTGAATAAAGCCAAATGATGTATTGTAATTAATAGTTTTTTTTAAATAGTTGTAAAGCGCAAAATTTAGTATTAAACCTGCTATTTTTCTTTGTACACTTTTTATCAGTAGGAAATCTATATTTGTGTATAAATGTTACACAGTCAGATGAGTGTTAAGAGTGAAAATAATTTGCCAAAATAAATACTTTTACAACTTTGAAATGCACTGCAAAATGCAAAATCTCCTCTTTATGTAATAGAGGTTGAGACCACATTTTTAAATGACATAAAAACATAAGATATCTGATGATTTCTTGAGTGTATGAAAATGTGTGAAGGTCCAGATAATCTCTTAATCAAGCTGCGTTCACAGTAATAAAACTCTGCATGCGTAAATCCTATCAAACTTTATAACTGTTGTTTTCCAATTCATTAAATTACTTCCAGAAGCTGCACCAGGAGCTACAGGGCTCTCCTCGTCATTCTCACTATTTATGGAAACTTACAATTTATAGAAAGTCTTATAGTTAACTACATAGGCTAATTTGGCCAATTTGAAGAGCAGTATATCTTAGGTTTTATTCTGTGCAGTCTCTTAAAGAAGCCATAAATCATAAAATGTTAAAAGCAACCAAATAAAATCTCATAATTTTGTAAAAGGTAAGGTTTTAAAATTTTAAGCAGAAACAAAGAAAAAAATAGAAAATGTAATGTTTTTTATGTAGTTTTTTTAAATGTGTCACACCTCATGCCTCGTACAAGAAATCTCCCTTCTCAAATTATCAAATGACGGATAATTTTTTCATTCTCTCTGTAAACTGGTTTGAAGAATAAGAGTAAGATCTAAAAATACAATTTACAATTTGTGGTTAATTACAAGTTGTGTTTGTAATGACTTTTCTTGATTGTTTACTTAAAATGATTTTACACCAGTAATTACAGTTAACAACATGCGCCTATTACATATTGTGTCTAGAACGGTATCAAAATATAATTGTTTGGTATTTTTATAGATCACAGGAAATACATTAAATATAAATATAAATGTGATAATAAAAACCTCTTCACCTTTGCAAAATTGACAATTAGAAATGCTTTGCACGGAGCTTTGTGGATCACTCTGGTTTCAATGCATGTTCATGAGCTGCTCGTCTAACTTAGTTCTTAAGATGTTACGAATGTGAAACATGTTTGAATTATATTTGGGGAAATTATTAACTTATTTTTGTAATCAGGACTGGTGTTTGAAGTAGTAGGTATGTCAAAGAGGTAGTTAGAGTGGTAGGTAGGGAAAACCCCACGTGAGTTAGTTTCCTGTGTTCTGAACAAAGCATTAGATCCAAAAAGGCATTTGTGAGAACATCTAATCTCCTTATTTGTAATGAGCGATCATTTCCTGTGGCACTATGGGCTTTTGCCATTCTGTATTTTGTAAAAAAAATAAATTCCAGAGGCCGTGAGTCAAACTTAACCTTTGACCTGTCTGCCCTTTGAGAAGCCGCACCTCTGAAGTCACGCAAACACACACAGAACGCGCTGCTTTTTGTTCTTTCTCTAATGAAAACTCACACACACGCTCGTACACAAACACACTCATACACACACACTCACACACACACAGTGGCATTGCAGATAGAGAACCAGGCTCACATGACACAAACACTGGACAGATCCAATGTGTTACAACACCATCACAACAACTTGGGCAATCACTGAGTTACCCAACGCACGGGTAACGCTCACACTCCACACAACTGCCACTCTCTGACCGGGGACCCCACCAACACACTCTCTAATACTGTCATAATAAGATGCTACTGCTAACACTAACTGAGTGATACTTTAAAGCAAAATAGTGCTTCACGTGAGACTGCAGTAAGGTTATATTTCTGTCCCTCATGACCTCACCACTAAAGCATGGTCCGGTCCTGATGGAGATCCCCCTGGCCCTGTGTTTACCCCTGCTCCTCAGCCTGTGTGTCAGTGCTAGGCATGGGGCAGCGCTGAAAACATGTGTCTCGATTATTACAACCAAAATAAATGTGATTGACACAAATATCAAAATTAGATCAAATTATTATTTAACATTCAAATTAGAAAGTGTTTAAAAATCTTATGGAATTTATTGCTTTGAATAGCTTTTTATTTTACTATAATTTATATTTCTGCGCTTTGTTATTATATTTATTGTGATGTGTGAGCTACTGTGTACAAATAATTTCCCTTGTGGATCAATAAAGTTTGTCTAAGAATTAATGAGAAATGTACTTTTTTGTAAGTGAAAACAACAATGATCTAGAGAAGCATAAGTAGCTGTTTTTTTGCCCAATCTGGTCATATAAAGGTGATTATTTTTGTAAATGATGATACAAAATGTACCACAAATGAATATTGTTATAATCTTTTTAATCCCGATAATTGGTATTATTGTTTATTATCCCATTTCTAGTCAAGGCTTACACACACACACACCCACACCCACACCACACACACACACACACACGGACAGACACACACACACACACACACTCTCCAGGTGCTGCCAGGAAATCAGGGGGCACCAATTACCACAGTCTATTATTCCCCTCACTTCCCAAACACGGCACAAAACAGACTTGAGGTTGACAGACCCCCCAGGTCCGGGTGAGTGTACGATGATTTGAGAAACATATCTAATTGCAATTTTCTGACAAGCAATGTGATTGTGATTAGATTTGCGATTTAAGTTGTAACAAGAGCATTCTGTTCAAAGTTCACATTTTAAACATGTCTAGAAGAATTGACGAAAAGACTCTAAATGTAATACAAGAATCGCATTTCTGAACATGTTTGTACAAAGCAACTTCCAATGCAGAATAAGACAAAATATTTTCTTGTGTGTGAAGGATATTATAGTACTTAAAGGTGCACTATGTAACTTCTAAGGTGAAGAAATGGTATTTCTTTACATGTAATGTTCCATACTATGGCATTAAATATATATCTGCCTTGCATTTATTCAATTACAGGTGTGTTATAGCTCCAAAATTCCATGAAAAACATAAATTCTTGCTATGTGCAGGCTTACGTCTCCATAGATCTGACTATTAACTTATTACTTATTAAGTTTTCATTGTGATTACTAAGTTTATTTCCATACTGTGGAATAAACAAGACAAACAGTAACATCTCCAAGAAGATAATCATGTGGCGGACCTTCCACCACAAAAGTTACACAATCCATCTTTAAAAATATCAGCCTTTGTGATTTGCTAATTGAACCCATTTTAATTTTGATGTGATTGTGATTAATCTGACAAATCCGCTCCCACACCCCCCTGAGTTCTGGCTGGGTCCCGGGTCACAGGGACTGGGCCGGACCCCTGCAGTCATGACTCAACCGCACTGGACTCACTTCAGTCAGTCTGCCCCTTGTACAGCAACAGCAGCAGGACTTCAAATATAGAAAACAACGAGGTGGTGGAACTACTCATAACTCACAGTAACAGGTCCAAACCATGATGTCAGTGTCGCTATATTGGCCCACTGATGAAACAGTGACCCACGAGGCACCGTCTCGCACTTAACTGTGTGGACTTCAGTGCTCAGCATCAATATTAGCACCGTTTAACAGACTACAGGCTCACAGCTATATTTCTCTCTCTCTTAACATGATGACTTTGCATAGAGACAGCCTGATCTACATTCCTGACATGCCTAGGTTAAAATTGTTATTTGCTAAGACAACAGTCAAAATTTTTCATCATTCTGAAACCCATGCGTTCATTATTACTTTTTAATTATTACATTCATTACACT